GAGCAGGGTGGACACATACTCTCTTTTTCTGCGACTGATTAGATTCAGATTTTACAGAAGGGTTGCAGGTTTCGTCCACGTGGAACCTACGTAAGCACCCAGAAGATTCAGCTAAACCTCTTATCTTTCTGTTGATGATTAACTCCCTCATGACTTCTACGTAGCTCAGGGCTATTTTAGTTCTGTAAATGTGAATGGCTAGAAGGCTTTGAAAGGCTACAACTGAACTGGAAAAATTCTACAAAATCTGCTGACGTCAAGTCGCATTTCAACATACCTTATTTCGACAGGTGATTTTTGGAATTACATGTGATATGCGGCCCTGAATGACTCCCAAGGGACTCTCAAGGCTAATTAAGGCTTCCTATATTGCGGTCGTTGTCAGTTCGACATTATGAGTAAGATAAAGGTATATATAGCCCCCATATCACATGTAATTCCAAAAATCACCTGTCCTTGCTGTTTACACAATTCTGCTCAGAACATCTCCAGAAACAGCCAATACTTCAAAAGCTTTCAAGGCTGGAAACTTGTAGCAAACTACAATGGCAAACTAGTAGTCAGATTGCAAGTGACAGCTCTACCTAAAATGACTACCCAATGAGTTTGTTTTGAATGAGCGGCAATTGACGGGAGTTTATGACAGCTCGAACAGGTGGTCTTGCATTCAACAAGCTGCAATAAATCTCTTATAAAAAGTGGAGAAAATTGTACCAGTGTAGAGTGTAGCCCACACTTGGCAAAAATACTTCTACTTCTGTTAAGAACCGTAGAGGGATTTGGCTCAAAAAATGATCCGTGGAGGCTAACTGACGTACAATTTGGTGATATTGGTTTTATATGCCCACCGAGTCTGGCACTTGTTTGTGGGCGAGCTAGGGATGAAGGGTCGATTAGTCCTGGTGGAACATTTCCCGGACTCGATCCTCGCCGTGGACCCATAAGGGCATCACTCACCACTCCCGTGAAAATGACATCGCAGTAATCGCAGTGACTTATTGAGAGCGATGTGGCCTATACAATGACTTGCGGGGGCCAACCGATTACAAGTCAATGGTCCTTCCCTCCAGTCGAGAAACTGGTACGATTCACGATCCCCTTGAGGTAGGAGGTTTGATAAGCGTGGGCGGGAGCCAATCTGGGATGTTACCCCCGGCCGCATACGTCAGAAGCGGAGTACTTGTAACTAAACCACCTCCGCATCTCATATTATATTGAATAAACTTATATTGTGCTATACTGGAGGCTTTTCAGAATGCTGACAGTAAAATATTTGCGATGCAAATAGAGGGTTCATATAAACTGAGTGAGTGATGTTGGTGCATAACTGAAGGGAGTCGTACTACAGGCACACAAACAACGATTTTTTGACGCGTGGGCGGGCCCACGCAGCAAAAAATGCCGACAAATTCGGGCATAGAACGCTGCACCCTCTAAGCATGCGTCATTTGCACCGGTTAACCACAGCAAACAACACTTGTATAGATCAGAATATGAAATGGGGAAAGAGAGATGAAAATGAGGAAGAATGAGAAAGGGCATGAAACAACTCAATGTATCGATCTTCCTTGTAATGGTTGAAATCACTTTCCAAAAGTTTATTTCACCACCTAGACGAAGATTTGACTAGTAAGCCCTTCTTCAGATCTACAGGGGTATTTTTCTAAGAAGATATTAAAAGTTGGAAGTGACCAATTGAAAACTGGCCAGTTTCTCAAGGGAATGAGGATCTGCAGTTGAGGTGGGTCCGGACAGGGTGAAGCTTCACGTCGCGGAAAATCGCCCGTTTGGTGCGATCCCTCTCCTTTAGGAAACAAGTGTCCATACAACCCACCCCATCAGAGATTGTGTGGGCAGGAATAGGGAGAGCTGGCGCGGAGGTGGTGTAGTGGGAGGTTCACAGAACGGGCTCCGATCCCTGGTCGACTCCTCCCTAGACCCGAGCCTTCCTTCTCTCCCTCAGCCTGCAAGTTTGCGCAATAGTCATCTGGGAGGATAAATGCAGTGACCTCGACAGCGTTCATGAAAATGGAGTGCCATATCAGCAAGAAGAAGCAGTTTCCCAACACCCTTTTGCCCTTAGCCGAGGGGCTAAGGCTACAGTGGTTGCTGAAGCGTAAGGCTGACAAACGAAGGGAAGTCGACAAATGATCAGAACCGTTCAAACCTGGTTAGGGAGATTGAACGTTCAAGGAATTTGACTGGTAAACATGCGTCGTTCCGGGTGAGAGCCTTGTTCGATGCGGATGATGGGGCATGTCAGTGCGGCTCGTTTGGCCACTAGAAGGTAAGGCAGGTAAACGACAACGGTGGAGAACGAATGACACGAACGGTATGATATAGACTCGTCGTTTCCCGAAAGAAAAGGAAAAAACGGGCTTCGCGAGCCAAACTCACCCATCGACACTCCCTTATCCGCAGCAAACAAGACTACAGTTTGTCTTTTCCGAAATAGGCGTTGCTGCAGGGTACCATGTCAACAAATTAGGATATAAGATACGCATGCGCTTAAATCCTGCTTGTTTACGCGCGATGCGAATGCAAGTAAACGCGTACAGTGATGGAGCGCTTCTAAGAATGTCAAGGGATTTCTTCGTGGTTACGTAAGAATGAAAGCCGTGTGTGAGGATACGTAGTGCGGACAGCCCTGTCCTAGCTTTGCAGCAAGGATCCATGTACTAGTTCCCCGTTGGGGAATTTCCCGTCACTTTGATGTCTGTCACCTCGCTCGCTTCCGTGCTCACTCACACCTCTTGTCTGGTCTCTCCTCCAAGCCTAGCGACTCTTCGCTTGCCCTTGGAAATATACGGGTTCTACTCAGGGGTTTGCAACTCGTACACTTCACTTTCTCAACCCCGATAGGTGCAACATCTAGGAATGCGAATCAATAAAAAACCTTCGAGATTTCTAGCACTTCGGGCTGCTGCTCAAGGACTTTAATCATCAAACGGAAGAACTGAACTGCACCAGTTAACTAGTTGCACATCTGAACAGCTAGCGAGTTTTTACAAACGAGATTTCCAAATTGATCTTTAACACTATTTATTTCAATCAGGGCACGTTCTGCCGCTGAGGGAAATTTCCGGAAAATGCCACCCTCACCCCTCCCCTCCTCCAAATTCATTGCTCTATACGCCCCTTTCCGCAACCCACGTACTATCTTGCCAACTTTTCCAAGCTTCCTACTACTTTCCCCTAAAATTTTCCAGGTTTTCTTAAAGTTTTCTGTCAAGCGGGGGAAGGGCTTATAGCTCCAGTAAAACGAGAAAAACCACGTAAAGTTGAAAGTGGACAATCGGAAAAGTAAACATAAATTTCTCTTAAAATCAGAAAAGGCAGATGCAACCATCCTCTCTCTCTCCGAGCAGCGAGCAAACACTCCCCCCCCCACCCTCCGTCCAGGGACCAAGTACGACACTCCCCAGCTGGGGTTCCCTAACGTGTAGGACGTGCCCTGATTTCAATACATGTGTGATAAGTCACATAGTGATATGACGTGATTTGGACAAGAATAATACAAGAGGTTAGGAATTAGACACTATATTCGCTAGGTTCATTACACCTGTTATACCCAGCAGAATGGCCAAACTATGAATATTCAAGGAGGTCCTCCCCCGAACGCTTTCATTTGGCATCTATCTATGTACAGCACCAAGAAACGTGGTCTAAACAAAGAGTCGCGTTTTCGAGGGCTGTAATTGATATTTCGTTTGTGCTGAAAAGTTTTGCCTTCAGAAAAGGAGTACACCAGAAACTACTTGCTGGTAACCTACTATTTGATCAATTTCAAAATCAATAGATTCATAAGAACTATAAGAAAAGACAATTTGTCGGCTCATTCCATGTT